AAGGGGGCCACACAAAGGTACTGAAGTGCTATCGCTGCCCTCCCAGTTTAGAGTAGCTGAACTGTAGCTCTTGGACTTTGTAATTACATGAAGATTCTCAGAGTAGGAGATTCCCCTATCAATCATAGGTACGGTGAAATGTGTCAAAGGCAATAAAACACAGATATGATATCTCCTATCCTGAAATGGCAGATGGGGAGACATACCTTTCAGTGCCTGCTCAATGGAGGATTATTTACTTATTCTCACTACAAAGAGGACAGGAAAGATTGAAAAACACATCCTAACAAGTTCACATGCAAGCCGTTCATCTTGGATGAAGAGTTTTAGATATTGCTCTGGATGAGTTAGAGTGGGAATTCGAACACAGAGCTGCTACTCTCACATGAGCTTTCTAATCACTAGGTCTTTACTTACTCTCCAGTGAGAAAACCTCTCATTTTTCAGAGGGATGTTTTAGATGTTTAATTTCAGCAGAAAATTCACAGCTCAGAGCATGAATAGAATGAAGCACTACAGCTCTGCTGCTTCCAGGCACAAGATAGCTTGCTGTCCACCCCAGTGTTATTGAAGGCAGGTCCAACTCTTATATACTCATAGGCACAAAAAGACATGACCTTAGGTGACTGAGGCCTGCCCTCCCCATCCTGCATTTTCGTCTTAGTCAGATTAGTTATCACCTTGGAGAGCTGATTTTAAATTTAACCCCTTCCTCAATTACATTGCACTTTACATGTATCCTATAGAAGCCAGGGGAAAAAGAAATTTTACTTTGAATGACCTGGAGTTATATTTCTACCAAACTGTATGTCTGTGTTTATGAGACATCACCGATTAAAAAAATAAAGTGCTTACCAAGTTCAAAGGGAAAACACAGAAGCCTAATTTTCAGTGGATAAGCAAAAATACAGAACTCTCAATCCTTTGTATATTCAGTAGCCATGACTTAGTTCACTTTCAAAAAACATAATTGTAATCTCCAGTTGTTACAATTCTTATAAATGAAGTGAAATTATTTGAAATTTCCAGAGGTCGGGCGGCAGGGTTGACTTTATTATTGGATAAAATAAGCTATGTTATAGCTTTCACAAACTTCAACTGCAGGTGTTTGTCCTCAATTTCTTTACAAACAAACAAGTAAAAAAACCCTACCCCAAGCCCCCACCATCAGGCTCCATTTCTAACCTACCTTTGAAAGAAAATTGCGTAGTTGTCTGATTATTACCCATACAGCCGCTGCGTCAGTATTCACTTCTTGACTTTTTTGTTTTCAAACAGGCTGTCTGTCGAAACAACGGCTTCTTCTCTTACCAAATGCCCACCTGGTTTGGTACTACCAAATACGTGAAACCTCTTGTCCAAAAATTGTGTTCGCATGAGCAGATGTTGTGTAGCAAGACGTGCTACAACTCTGTCAACATCGGTTTCTTGATAGATGGTTCCAGCAGCATTGGAGACAGCAACTTCCGCCTTGTGCTTGAATTCATCAGCAACGTTGCAAAGGCTTTTGAGATCTCTGACATTGGTTCCAAGATTGCAGCTGTGCAGTTCACATACGATCAGCGTACGGAGTTCAGCTTCACAGACTACACCACAAAAGAAAAGGTCCTCTCGGCTATCCGAAACATTCGCTACATGAGCGGTGGCACTGCTACCGGTGATGCCATCTCTTTCACAACTAGAAATGTGTTTGGGCCAATGAAAGATGGACCTAACAAAAATTTCCTCGTTGTTTTGACTGATGGTCAGTCTTACGATGATGTTAGAGGACCTGCTGCTGCTGCACAAAAAGCAGGTAAATGAGCTATCGTTAAAAGCGGTGGAAGTTGATTCGTCTTATTTCTGCTGCATTGTAAATGTTAAGATTTTAAAGTTTGCAAATACAGCCCCAGTGAGTGAATCAAGTATCATACCTGTTTTAAATTCAGCAAAATGTAATCCCCAAGGAACTGTTTTCCATTGGGATGAAAAAAAAACAGTGCTATGGAGCCGGGTATGAGTAGACTCATTCATGGCAGCTTAGTGAAAAAAATACACCCAGTCTTATTTCCCTAAACAGGAGAGAAATTAGTAGATTAAAAATAAAGAGCCAAGTAGTGATGCTCCAATCAGTGATGCCATCCAATACAGCATGACTCCTCCTCTCCATCATCATCTAGGAAGGAAATAGGCAGTTTTGGCCAAAAAGCTTATTAGGCTGCTGGTGCTTGAAAGCACTAAGCATACACAAAGGATCCAAATTTATTTTCAAAATCATTTTACACAGTGTTACTTGTGTTTCAAGACTGACATTGCAACTGCTACATTCATATGTGTCACCGCAAAAACAACTAAGACACTAGCTCTTATGATACCCCATATTTCCTTCATGATTTTTACTGAGACAAGTCTTCTAATTCCTGATATTTAGTGGCAAAATCTAATAATCTTTGACAGACTGCAGGTATTGAAACACACTTTTCTGATCCAGATTAATTCATGGATGTAGAAATGGTTGTTTTTCTTGTATCCATAGGCAAAATGGTCTTAACTATTTTTTTTTTTTTTCTTATTGTAGGAATAACGATCTTCTCTGTCGGTGTTGCCTGGGCACCTCTGGATGATCTGAAAGACATAGCTTCTGAACCAAGAGAATCTCATACCTTCTTCACTAGGGAGTTCACAGGATTGGAGCAGATGGTTCCTGATATTATTAGAGGCATCTGTAAAGATTTTTTGGACTCTAAACAATAAAGCAAAAATCTGCTGTTGGATGTTACTACTTTGAAACTAAAATCATGAAACTGAAATGATCCCTCTAAAGTACAGATGTTTTATTCTTATATATACTATCATAATGCAAGGGCAGAAGGGCTACTTTTTGTTTCTGTAGTCAGTCAAGGATTCTTGTGAGCTTGTTAGAAGTTGTACTTAATACTGGAATGCAGAATTTGGCCAACAGCTATTATTTTCAATACATATATAGTATCCCCAATTTTAAGCTATGCATATCGTGCACTTAAGGCTATCAGATATCAGCAGAGGAAACAATAGAGCTCTGACATTTTTGCTGTCACTTGCTAGATGTCTTCTTACGAGTTAAAAATAATATAATTTTAAATACACAATATTATCTTCTATAAGCCTTCTGTAGCTTATGATTCTGTATCTTTTTAAGGAGTTCTGCTGATAGCAGGAAGTAATTTCAGTGCTTCAGTTGCACAACATCCATTATTGCCAGGTAGTTTAAAAGGTGTGACAGATTGTACCTAACAGTCTGTCTTTACTAGTTGAGGTTTTGCTATTGTGAACAATACTGCCATCTGGTTGGCAAAGTTTACATCAAAAGACATTTAATTCTACCCACAGATTTCTGTGGATCTATGTTGTTTGATTCTTTTGGCACAGATTTTGAAAGGTATTTAAGGCACAGCAGTTCTTTTTGAGGGTCTGGAACCTAACATATTAGCTGATACTACTGCTTCCTACACCACTGAACTCAACAGCAATATTCCTAATATATCTGATAATGGGATTTTTTCCTGTCTACTGCCTTGTACTGTCTTAATTTTACAAAGTTGTTATTGGCTAGGCAGTTAGAGACAGGAATCTTGGGCAGATTAGATTAGACCACACACTGGGAACTGAAAGCATTCAACTCCAAAGGTGTATCAAACCTTGAAACCTAACTAACTGGTTTACATCAGATTACATGGTTGGAAAAGAAGAGAGTAGGCAGACACGTAGTGGGATTCAGAGGCTCACAGAATAACAGCTTTCTAATGCTAGTAAAAACATCTTTAAAGATCTGTGAGGTTTGCTGAAGATGAAAGAGTAGTTTTCTTGAAAAAAGGCTTTAATTTGATTACATATCTAGTAATGTGTTGATATATTTATACCTACATGCGTGTGGTTAAAATGATGCAATATTCACAAAGTTATTCCAGATTCCTGGTGTGAATAACAGACTTCAAGTATTCTTTAGAGCGTAAAGTTTTTTGCAAGTAAAATATATAGTAGAAAACAAAACAGCACTTTTCCTATCACTCCCCTCCCCCCCCCCCCCCCCCCCCCCCTCCCCCCCCCCCCCCGCTATTGATTGTAAAATTCCTAGTAGTTATGGAGTGGCACAGAAGGGATTGTACTCATCAGGCTTTTGTTGTGCATTTTTTAGTAACTTATGACTGGCTATATATTACACTAAACATGAATGGCAAAGATGCCTTGTATTTTTCTATTAATTGTTATCCTTAATTTTGTTATGTGTTTATAGATAAGAGTATTCAGCTATTGCTGTATAAATTCATATGCAATATCAACTTTGTGCAAAAGTTTAATTCATTTAGTTTATAAACTTTTTATAGAAATATATATTGCAAGAAAACTGGTACTGCTGCTATCCGTTTTAATATCCTGTAATATAAAAGTCTTTTTATGATGAACCTCATGTAGTATAGCTTAAGTTGCATGTGATGCTTCCTAACTATTATCTTAAATCCCGATTTGCAAAAGAAAAGAATCCTAAATTATCCTTAAATAGCAAGGATATTATTTATACAAATATTTTAATTTGAATGAGTCAATATCAAAGTTTTAGTCATAGGTATGATGATAGTTGAATCTTCTGAATATAAATTGCATGCGAGCTAGTAGAATCACATTTTCCCTCCCACTTTGCCTCCTTCTTTGCAATAGTAAAAACAGCTTTAGTCATGTCATTCATCCATCAAGGAAAAAGCAGGTCTGGATCTCTGGGACACTGAAACCTGCGGAGCTAAATGTCCAAATATTTCCATTTCACTGGAATGGTGATGACATTACTTGCACTCTTCATATGGCTTGATTTCACTGAGGTAGGAAGTGGTGGGTACAGAAAATACTTTAAATATACAATGTTTTTGTGGAAACAAGCATTTGTGAGCACAATTTTGATCTGGAAAAAACATTGGTGGGATATGGATAAAAGGATCGAGACTGGTGAGATACTGAGCCAGGGTGGAAAGGATGGGGACTGTGCTGTAAGTAGAAGGTAAGTTTGAAGGAAGAACAGCATGGTAGAGGGTAGCAGACATGATTTCAAGTTCTGTTTTGGGTAAGAAGGTAGGTAAAGCCACAGTATAAGGGTTCAGTTTTATGCTGCTAGACCAAGCAGTATAAAGAACATGATCAGAGCTGTAGCTACAGCCACTTGTGCAAACTCCACTTGGGACCATTGCTGCAGATATTAGTACCATCAGTCAAGAATATGGCCTGCAGGGGATCAGTTCTGTTCTCTAGTGATGTGACACTGACAGAAACCAGGGCAAGGGGGCTGGAGTACATGATCTTTAAAAGGTCCCTTCCAACCCAAACCCATTCTGTGATTCTCTATGCCCTATTTCCCTGAAAAGTACTCACAAGGCTCCAGGGGCCTCGGATTTGCAAGCCTACTGCTGACGACATACCACTGCACATAAAAAAAGTTAAGTTTCCTTCACTCAGAAAAGAGTAGAAGATTCTAAGCTTAGCAGTTTAGGTACTTACTGCAACTCCCAGAGCTGTTTCTGAATTTTACATTAAATAAATAGTAGTTAACACAGTCCAAAACTCATCCTTCCCAGCGGAGCTCCCAGAGCAATCTAAATTTACAAAATTCTATTAATTTACTGTCCTAAAGAAACTGAAATTACTTTTTATACCATGATAACTTATAGTAAGGGCTGCAACCTACAGCCATGCATTGGTTAGGACATACGCCTCAGCACTGGAATTGTTCACTGCCAGAAGTCCAAGGAAGACACCAAATCGTCTCTTATGTTTCCTGGATGAATTCTTTACTCATAGGCTATTTTATAACTGAAAGAAGCACACAACTTCCTCTTACATTGGCAGTATGCTCTTCTCAGTCCTTGAAGGAAATGTTACAAAGGCTTATCTCCAGGATGAGTTTCCAAGTCAGGAATTACACACACAGAGGACATGTTAGACGAACTTCCATGCTCGGTATTTCCTGCGTGGAAGGATATATATCTCAGGGAGGTAT